CCATCAGGACGTTCATCAAAATTGCAGACGCAGATCATTTGGTGAATATAATTGACAAGCAAAGCCAAGTGCATGTTCATAGCAAGGTTTTTACTCTTACGATAGTTCTGATGCCAAAAACAGACACTGATGCCGAAAACAGACTTCTCAAGGATCGAAAATATGGTAAGCATAAACGGGATCCGATCCAAAGACCGTGTTAACGATGACAGCGCCCTTTGCTCCCGCCTTGGCTCTGGTTCCTTTTTGAGCAACTCACATTGGTGAAATGATTGGTGCCCAAATCAAGAGTTCTGAGCTGTTTCAGGTTGGCAAATGCTGACCAATCAATGCTTGTGATTTGATTATTCTGTAGATTCAACACTTCCAACGAGTCCAAACCTTTGAACATGTTCCTAAAGAAAAATTGATTTGAGCGCTGGCGAAAGTTAACCCCAATAAGGGCTACCAAAGCACAAGGAATAAGTCTACCTTGTAATGACGCTGATCTGATTGCCACTTAAACTGAGCTTCTTCAAGGACGTTAACTTGGCAAAAGTGCCGTCTTGGATGGTGGTGATGTCATTGTCGTTGATGGACAGTTCCCGAAGCTCTGGATGGAAGGATAAAACGACCGCATTGTATATCGGCTAACCCCCCCCCCCTTCAAGATGTTGTCTGGGCCAAGCTCAGTACAAAATGTCACTGCGATTCTGAAATCAATTAGATGCATGGCGCATTCCAATAAGGGACTGGTAGATGCCAAGCCTTATCTTTTGCCTTATTACTACAAAGATATCGGCTCTAATATGGTAAAGAAGGAGCGCAATGCCATTAACGAGGTGAATATCCAACCATGGCATGCCAGAGGGTATGGCGAGTTTTAGTTGGATCGGTACATCAATTCAAGAATACGCAATAGTTTGACAAGCTGTCCCTCTGGATGTTTTCAATGTCGCACTTTTTATTGATTCCCAATGGCAATTTAGAGACTATCCTCAATCATTACTTGATAGGTATGTGGTAGTAAAGGCAGCTTAGGCTCTTCCCTGATCAAGCAAAAGGTCTTTTGATCCTTCAAGGACTGCTAAGTGAATTCGCCTGGAAAAATGATTTGATGTTCCCCGTTGCCGTTACCAGAACATGTAGAGAGCATCAAGTTCCCTTACAACCCTGAACAAAAAAATACTTTTGAGCTTAGAAAAACGATTGAAGACAGTGATCACGATGCCTGGAGGGCAGTGCTGTTATATGACGCCATTTAATGTCACTGGTGAAGCTGCATCGAAAGGCGGTCCCAAGTTTGCCCCACAGCACGCCGAGGGTGGGGGGCGCCTACCTCATCAGTGCCGTTCAATGACGACATCAAACCGTACCGTCTACTAATCACGTTCACTTTCTGTTCCCATCTTAGCACTTCATTAGGGAGAGGATGTTTCCCTCATCGTTCCCTTACACCCAAGTACCTCCTCACAACTATCAGTTCGGGTGCTTCGGTCATAATCAGAATCAGTTCATCTAAGTTTGAGCTCAGGTACACTTTCAATAAGATCAGAAACTCATTGCTCCTGATTGTGACAGAAGCACCCGAACTGAGAACTCACCTAAAGGCAGTGGACGCATTGATTGGGGTGAAGCGGTTTCGATGACGTCACTGGACGTGACCACCGCTGGATAACCCCTAAGCGCGTTGGGAGCTGTGTTGGGTACCAATGGCATTATCGAAAACGCCGCCACTCAGCCTTCTACCATTCGTGAATAACGCCTTCAGGCAGGAAAAACTTTTTTTGTGAATTCTAGCCAGATCAAGATCTCTACAGTTTTCTTGTGTAAATCAATTGTTGCTGAAGAATTCAGAAAATTAACACTCACCTGGTCGAACATATCCGATGGGATGATTGTGATATGACAATCCCAAATGCTGACCTTCTCCGGGAATGATTCGTTCACCGAATGTAATGCCTTCGAAATATGAGGGAGCGTTTGGCCGGAGCATCTGAAGAAAATCTTTTCACTTCCAAAACCAGTTTTCATTGCTAACTCTCATCTGAGGCATTTCAACCATTTGAAGCTTATTTTAAGGAGGATTCCACGAGGTCGAAGAAGAATTAATATACTCAGTCGGGAGGCAGGCGGGCCCCGGGGGTGCAGGACGATGCACCTTTGCAGCGAAGGGTATCCCCAATGGCAGGGCCATATCCGCGCCCCTCGTGCCGCTGCAGACCCACCGATGGGTAGCCTCGCGGCGTCTGACCGTAGTCGTTCTGACGTCGAGGGAGCGTTGGCTTGAAGAGGGCAGCACCGATGAGACTCACATCAATGCGGAAATCGGCGAACAATGAGGGGTCCCATTTCTCGGATTCTAAGCCGCTTTTGTTACTTTTTTCTTTAGCATGGCTACGTCTCTTTAGCTTCCGATGAGCTGCCATTCTATTTGAAACCTCACCCCTCTCGTTTCCAACTGGGACACAACCCCTTCCTTGAAGCAGAGTTTTAACCTCACTACCATTTTCATAGACTTTTTTAGAAAGCTTTTCAGAAAAAATCGGCCTGAAAAGGCGTTGTCAGCAGCTAATACTCCTTTTCATCCAGTTCGGCCAAGTGACTGAAATTTTGTGCTGAGTGAGGAAATACGAGGTGTCACGGAATTCCTTGATGACGCTAAGCAAACATGCTGATATCGTCGGAGAAAAAATTTGATGACTAATGAAAACTTGGACTTTGGCCAATGAACACATAACAAAATATCTATGTAGTGTCGGTTGATCTCTTCGAGATGCGCCACGCATCCGAAAACCATTTGGAATTGCAAAGGTGCGTGCATGGCCTGGGCAAGAGGAGTTAGACGAATTTTCGACTGTCTTTATACTTTTTTCTCCTTTACACATCTTTTATCTATGTGAAGTTTGGCACCCAATACGAAGCCCAATGTGAAAGCAGAAATGGAGGACACTGAGGGGATACTGTAAATTGTACATGGTACCTGGGGAAACTGTAAATCAGATGAGGTGTTCCTAATTTTCAAACCGTCCAAGAGTAATCTACCAATATATTAACGTAGAAAGGTGGTAGAAAAGGCAATGCCACTCAAAAGATCTACGGTCCAGAGGTCAAATCCGGGGTCGAATTTCGTCGAAGAGACCGGCATGCCATTAACGACGGGTCGTTTCGCCACCGAACCTGTCTGGGGGATGAAGCACTGGTTTTTACACTGGCTCGTTCCCGCAAGTCATCGAGTATAGACCTAATCGCATGCAATAACCACTATTCTGAATGGAAGTGGTTAGCGTGGCGCATTCTGAAGAAAGAATGCGTGGCTCAAGGGCTAGTGGCCGAATGCCTTATTCTTCTTCTGGTACTGTAGACGTGAGCTGACCATGAGTTTCAAGTGTTTAAACACGAACGCGCAAAAAGAGTACTTGTAACCCTGAGGCCAGAACTGCCCGTAGTTACACAAGCCATGGTCCATTTGAGGCGTTGAGCGGCCTTGGGAAAATGTACTCTCGATTCAAAAAACGAGAAGAGCGTCGGGTGCAGACCACACACCACAAGTGACGACGGCCTCCAAGTAAATCTGGTTAGTAGTGGTTCATAGTGATAGCTGATTTTTGGTAAATGATAGTTGTAATTAGTGACAACTGATAGAATACAACTGCAACAGGCTAATCATTTCATTGGCAGAAAACATTTACATTTTGTGGAGGCCGTCGTCACTTGTGGTGTATGGTCTGCACCCGACGCTCTTCTCATTTTTTGAAAGGGAGTACGAATAGGCGGTCGGGTCATCGTTCCTAATGCATACTTCGAATGCATATCGATCGGTGAAAGAACTACACCTGAACTGGTCTCATAGGTATGTGCCAAGCACATTTGGTACCATTCAACCGATTCCGAGAAAATGGAAAGTTTTATTGGCTTGGAGTGGAGGGGGAGGAGGGAGGACAAATTTCAGTCATCCCTTGGGCAATCTCAGCTAGGAATAAGTCGTGTGTGATGGAATGGGCGCCACATTTCTGAAAAAGAACGAGGAGAATTTTGAGAGTGAAAGGTTGGTGGTTGGTTGATTGCAGAAAGGACTGCCATAGAACAACCCTTATGGTGTCCCAAAATTGCTTAGCGCAACGACTGAACCTGGGCTGAATTGATCTTACGAGCTATGCGATTGCGATGCGCCTTTATGCAGCAACCTCCAACCTGACTAACCACACCGTATATCTGATCTAGTAGTATTGGATCCCTTTGTACGCAGCACGCTCTAATCTATATAACGCTTGGTAAGCTGGTTGAGTCCTGACAAATGGGTTTGGAAGACTAGACCCTGCTCCGCCCAATCTGGGGCGCTCTGGCTACAGTTTGGCACTGAAAGAGAGTTTTATGGGGTACCCGACAGGAGGCCCGTCGCGCGGCAAGAAGGCAGAGTCAGCGGACGAGTCGCAGCGCACTGTAGTGATTTCGCGTCAAGTTAAATAGAATGTCCATTGCACGTCCTACATCGCACATCACGCGCTGCAACTCGTCCGCGACTCTGCCTTCTTGCCGCGCGACGGGCCTCCTGTCGGGTACCCGAGTTTTACGAGAGGGTAGGCCGTTGTTAGGACCTGCTCATTTTTACTTGCGTTCAGAAATTTCATTAAATAATTCAAAGTCTAGAAGTTGTAGGAAATACAAACCCAATTGTTATTCCATCAATGGTGGCATCAAATCCTTTGTGGAAACATTTACAAGCTTCCTGAAAAAAAAACCATTTTTTGCAAATAAAATTTTCCAAGCAAATTTTGTGGCAAATCACACTATGCCGTGCGATGTTTGGAAAAATGTTGTTTGTTTTGAAAAATAATAGTTTCTGAGAAGTTACCGTCTCATTGGTATCGGTAGCAACACGAAATGCTTTATCGATCGCGTCACAGTCGAGTTCGGCGCGCGAAATCGCGACAATTAGCACGGAAATCAATAATCGCAACATCACGTCATCTGTTTTTCCTGTAATTTGCGTCGATAAACGCGTTGCGTTGACAATACGCAAAATGAGAACAATTTCTAGGTGATCGCGAAAAAAAGCGTTCGGAGATGGATGGAAAAGGAAGAAGTTGGGAAGGTGGAAGAGAAGAAATTAACGAGGAAATTATGCTTGGGGTAACACGAAGGGCAAAATCTATGTCAGGAAGAAGAACAGCGGGTCGAGTGGGAAGGAGGACTATTGAGTTCGAATTCCGGGTCATGACGACAATTTCTCTGTTTTCCCTTTTTTCTTGCTTCTTTTCAAACAACGTCCGGCAGCTCAGTGGGGTGAGGCGACACACCCCCGTAGGATTCAATGGCCTAAGCTAGTCACCACAGTCATAGCCGGTCACTCTCTTTGAGGTAACTCTATTTATCAAACATGCTCAAGAAAATACCCACTGTTCCCAAAAATCAGGTGCGTCTCGAGTGCAGACCATACACCACAAGTGACGACGGCCTCCACAAAATGTAAATGTTTTCTGCCAATGAAATGATTAGCCTGTTGCAGTTGTATTCTATCAGTTGTCACTAATTACAACCCAACTATCAGCTATCACTATGAACCACTAGCTACCAGATTTACTTGGAGGCCGTCGTCACTTGTGTGTGTGTCTGCACTCGACGCGCACTTGGTTCTCGGAAACAGAGAGTAACAAATGTAAAATAACAATATCATGGATTGAAGGTGAGTGAAATCTCGTAAGATACTTGGACGCCCCACCGACCGCCCCAAGAATCATCTAAAAAGTGCGAGTGAAAGTCGACAGCATGGCGCATCCAAGAACACGTCAGCAATGTGGAGCCCTATTCCTTCTTGAATCTCGAAACAAGAGCTGATTGACTGGTGGGCTTTACATACGTATCGATCGATCACACCAATTCAGCAGCGGCATTCTGGAAGGTTATTCGAAGAGACCGAAGGAGCTGCATGACAAATGTGCCACTTGATGTGCCAATTCTCGAGTTGGCGTTCGGGCAATATAGCGTGACATTAGGTTCTCATCATCGTGACGCGAATGTGCCACACAAATGGGTACACCAGGGATTTTTAGGGCGGACTGTGGTAGAGTTAGTCACTTAATCCGTCGAAGACAACGTGAGTTGTGTATTACTGTGGGTTTTTCACCAATAAACCCCAAAAGCAGGACCTAATGTCTCTACCTCGTGGCAATATGAGGCCAACTCAGGTTAAAAGATTTGGATCAGATGTATTTGGGTTAGTCTAAGGGGCAATTGCAGTACGAGCTAAGAGAAACAGCACCAAAAGAATTCTAGGCGGTAACTTTTGAGGATGAAGTTGAAATCCAATATATGAATTCGGTAGCGTTTTTCTATCCCTCCTCAAATCCTCAGAAAAGCCCTTCTGTTTTCGATCTAGCATTTGCCAAGCACGGAAGTTCGCTTGGGGAGCGCGCTAACGAAAGCCCACGTTTTTCAGGACCTACTGTGCTGGCGAGAAGAATGACAAAAGGGTTACACGAGCAACTTATAGGCCCACATTTCTCTTCATGGTCGATCGATACCAAAATCCGAATTGGCTGGTGTAAGAACGAGGAAAGAGGCGATGTGTTCAATGATGGAATGCGCCACGCATTCGACTTCCATTCAGAATTGTAAACTTGTAATTAAAACATTTTATTCTTCCTTTACAATTCATTACTTCAGTTGCTAAGTATTCAAGATAGCCGATTCTAAAAATTCTTCCAGAGATTGTCGGAACAGTGAAATGCCTGTTGGTCGCAGGGAATCGATCGAATCGATTTTTTTGGTTGGTAAAGGGGTGAGCGGCGCCTCTGTCCACTATACCATCTGTAAGTGTTATGGAAATAAGGACTACTAAGTTGCCAATCAATTAGAGAATACACCCGGGGTAATACTTCATTGGAAGGGTTACCCATATGGATACTATTAAACTGCTATAAATAACCAATCGAGATGCTTCAAAATTGTTTGAAAAAATAGCCCCTTGGCAGAAGATATCGATGCTCGAGGGGCAGGGGGAGGGACGGGAAAAATGTTGAAAAAATATTGTTCATGGAATATTTCGATTTCGTATAGGCATGGAGGTCAGCGAAAATCTTTCGTCGCACGATTGGTCTATGTTGCGTAATCTCTCCATGACACCAATTAAGGACAAGGTAAGCGCTCTAAAACCCGGAGATCGAGATTCGAATTCAGGCGGAAATTCGTGATCTATGAAATGAATCATGGAGAAATGAAGAAATCATAAATACCCTCAAAGGATGAGGCTATTGTGAGAAGGAGTGAAAAAGCCAAGTAATTTTTTTAGGAAAAGAAATTCCTTTTATCAAAGGAGGGGAAGGAGGGTCTAGAGCTGACAAGGGAAGTTCACTTCTTTATGGGAAGTTGATATTTGGCGTGGGTGGCTTCAGATCCACTAGGCCACGAATTTTATGCGAATAGCCAATCGAGTGGTAAGAGGGTAAAAAATATATTTACAAATTCAGGGTGTCCAAAATCCTTGAGAGCAGCGATTTCAGTGTTTCTCAGGGAAGCAACGACAAAAAATCTGAGTCCATCGAGCCGGAAATGGCCCATTAGTGAGAAAAATCCTTTATAAGATGGAAAAATATTCAGCAAAAAGCGCAGAACTGGGAGAAAATCACGAAAAGGAACGACGAAAACGGTCAGAAATAAGCCTGAAAAGGAAAAATATCGAAAAAAACACTGTAGAATATTGATCAGCTGTCCACGTTGTCAGCTGATCTAGATGTTCTTCAGCAGCTCGACGTCGGCAGCAGCCCGTGCTGGCCTGCGCCTGGTGGTCGCGTCGACGGCGACGTCGGCGCACTCCGTTCACGGCGACGTACTCTCGTGTGGGCGGCACCCTGGTGCCTCCCATGCTTTAGTGCTCCATCGTCCAGCCGGCCTCATCCCACACTCCATCTGCGCTACGCTATCGCCGCGACGACCTTTCACAACCCTGACCTCCTGCTTTGTTCGCACAAAACCTCCGATGGTGTGTGTATGTGTGTGATTTGGCCGGTCATGGCACCACACGAACAGCGAGCGGGGCACCCTCCACCATTGCCTCACTCCTGGACAGATACGCCAATTTCTGGGCACCGGATGGGAAATTCTTATAGACCAATCTCGAACAGGAGAAAATGACTACAGTTCTGAGGAGTAAATTGAAACTGATATCTGAAAACTGTGCAGTTTTCTTTTTTTCAGCATTTCATTTTTTTAACAGCTGATTTTTTCCTTCCCTCGCCCCGCCCCCTCCCCCTCCTGACCTGATAGCCACCATGAACTGTATTAATCTCCTCTATCAGGGCTGACGATATTGACTAAAAAAATTCAACATGTCTGAGCGAATAGCAGGTAAGAGTTGTGTTTTCAGGGCTGAGCGTTGGCTATAAAGCGCGTTAGAATACGCCATGAATGCGTCCTTCACATGGAAACAAAGCAGCCACTGATGGCTGTCCATCTCTTCTCCAATATAGGCCAGAGCTGCCTTCAAGGGGCAGTGATCACGATAATCCTGGGTAGGTTTAGAGTCGAAGGGAGTGTTAAATAGTGCACTAGTGGTGAAAAAAAGCAGGGAAGTTTGTCAAGAACACCCTAAATGGGACCACTTCGTCGGCCCGATAGCTTTTGACTATGGACACACAAACAGACAGACATAGGGCGTTTTATATACTGGAGGGGTAGGGGGGGCAATAAAAAAAACATTTTGCCTCCACTTTCAGATGGATTTAAGCACACTTTGCTCAATCAGACCTGAATGGTCCGAACTTATTATTGAAGAGCGCATTTCATTCTACAATGCGTTTCATAATTATAAGGTCACCCTAAAATTTGCATTTCCGGAACAAGCAGCAGACTGGTGATTTTTCTAGTATTACCAGCTGATTCCTCACTATGAAAAACCCCTGTATCGCAATTTTGGCGGGAGCAGCTTTTCTTCTAACTTTTTTATAATTATTTTTCGGTTTTTGCACCGTTTCATAATTATAAGGTCACCCTGTGAAAATGAATACTACATTATCAGAAACAACCAACCTGCCTGTGAAATTGAATGTTTGTTACAAACACACCCAGTAGCTAAATTTATGGAATGTTTCGTACTCGCCTTTTGAAGAAAAGGTAAAGTTTATGCATTTCATGGTGCTCGGCGCAATTCGTGAGTCTTTCCAAAGCAGTTCGGAAATTCCCTTGCTTTATTCATAGACCAGGTTGGTCCCCCGCCAACCGCCGGGACCTTCTTTCACAGCGTACGCTTTACGGCCTAAAATCACCTTACGAAAGCTAATTGCATCCTAGGCCTGTTGGGGGGTGGTTTCCCGCCTACCCTCCTCGAACACTTCACCCCCCTCTCCTCTCCTTCCACTCACCTTCAGCTGCCACCGCAGCACCATGTGAAATAACTGGAAGTGACCTCAGTAGGTGTTTATGTAGCCGTTGGGGTGTTATCACAATCATGCCATTGCAAAACACTAATAGCTAAAGTCCTGTGAGCTACATGATTCTGTTAGCGGTTTGTTTATCCCATGAGCTTCCTTCTCACCAGGGTGAATATCGCTTGAGGATTCCTCAACGGCACGTCGAGGATTCTCTGCCCGATCAGACACGATCTCTCGCGCGGACATTCACACTCGCCATGCCGTGCCGTCTGTGCCTCCGCGCGGATGTTCACTCTCGGCACTACTCTCGCATGGTAGAGAGCTATGGTCGAGGATTTCCTCGACCGTTATTCACCCTGTTATCACTCATTCAATTCATTTGCGACGGACACACATACATACATACATACATACATACATACATACATACATACATACATACATACATACATACATACATACATACATACATACATACATACATACATACATACATACATACATACATACATACATACATACATACATACATACATACATACATATATCCCTACTATATATAATGCGCTATGTCTGTCTGTCCGTCTGTCACGAA